CAAGTGAGTCTAAGGATTATCTGGAATAATACATGTACAATATTATCAATAATATTTTGAAAATGAAATTTGCTAAATAATAAAACAGTTTTTGAAACTATTATACAGTAAGATTCCAATTTGAAATAAGGTATAAAAGGTGATTTTTTGTTTTCTTAATTTTGACTGCTACCATTTTCCCTCTTTTTTCCTTCTCTTTTAGAATTAATGCAGAGTATTTTTAAAATACATAAGTTATTGAAAAAGGAAAAAAAAGAAAGGCAGTTAATTATAGACTGAGTCTAATAGAACCCATTATTGCTTCTCTCATACTTTTTCTATCATATCACATAATCACAATAATGAACTTTTCTTCTTTTGATCCTTTTTATCCACACCACTATGGCAACAACAATTAAGATTGCCAAGAAAGCAAAAGCATATGTAATTAACCAATTTAGGAATGAACAAAAATTCAGTACTATGAGTTCTCTGACAGAGAAAGTAAAAACAAACAAACAAAAAAACAAGAATTAAAATCTTGTTGTTCAAAAGAACTTACACAGGTTACTTACAGTGAATAATTAAGTTTTGTTTGTCTGTACCCCTGATATTGGATTTGTTATTAACCAAATTTAATTTTCTCAACATATCTGTGAGAGAGAAAAAAAGATTCACATACATATGAACTGAGGCAAAGGACAGTCATGTGACTTGTTTGAAATTATACAATTAAGTCAATGGCTGAACTGTAAACAGAACCAAGCATACCCAACTGCTAGTGTGCTGCTCTAACTAATGGATCATGCTCCCTGCTATGTAATAGGACTGTTTCCTTTAATTACAAATTCTTCATTCACCATCAGATTATCAGCCAGAGGCTTTATCATTAGTTTTGCTCTTCTTCATTCATGGCACCATTCCAAGAATATCAGATTTCCATGATAAAAAAATATAAATACCACTGCTTATTGCATTAACCAGATCTGAAAATCCCAACTGCCTGTGGCAAGGATATTCCACTATATCTGTACCTAATAGCATATTTACAGGTAGAACTGCAATTTTAGCAGCCATTTTTGCTTGATCAATGATCTGGACAAAATGGATTTCATTTTTATTTAATCACATTATCAGTGCATTTATAATTTGACATTAGCACATTCTATAATCTCATTAGTCAACACTATTAACATATATGACCTGAATGTAAAAATTCTAAAAGTAGCAGATTTTTAAGGATATATACCTTAGGGGACATGTGATGTTAGGAAGTAGATGAAGATAAAAACCATGAGATGTTCTTACATTCTGTGCTAAAATCTATAAAAGAGAATTTACTGGGTAAACAAATAAAATAAATATCTTTAAAGAGGTATCTAGACACTTGTCTTTGAGAAGCACTTTGTGTTTCTTTGGCACATATCACAGTAGCAATAGTAGCAGCAGCCTTGCCCTTGGTGCTGATTTCTTACTACTCTAAATGTCTCCTCTGAGCCAGAATACACTGGCTGTTGCTGATCATGCTGTGAGACACCTGCACTGGCTACTAGGCTTGTCATGACGCACAAAACCCTACCATCTTCAGCTTGACATTGTGCAAGTTATAATTATTCATCCAAATGAATATGTCAGAGCAGCAGCAGCAGACCTCTCATCAGAGCAAAAGAAAAATACATCAAAACATTATCAACTCAGCAGGAAGACAGGGACCATAAGGAAAATTACCCATTTTTAATATGGATGCCACAAAGCCATGTCTATTATATTACAAAAAGAAAAGAAAATAAAGATCTTCCAAGTGTAAAGTCCAGAAACACTGAATCCAAAGAGAAAATGTACAAAAGCAGACAATGATTTTTAAAATCAATTATCTGAAGCCTATTTACAGTCTCATAAATATAACTTTACTATTAGATTACAATGGTAACATTTATGCTACATAAAAACCACAACTGTTTAAAAATGGTTAAAACTGAAAATACCCACAAGAATTGTTTTCTGGTGAGTCAGTAAGCAAGGATAACACATAAGCAAAGTCATCTCATACTGCTTCTTACATTTAAATATATTTAACTAATATTGCCAATCTCATCATACTAAAAGACTCAGAGTTCATACTGCTAATACCATTACCAAAATCCTTATGATGTTTAGCTAGGCTCTTATTGATAAATATTTTTAAACATTCAAAATTTTAATATTATATGTAAAAGAAAAACTAAAATTACTCCCATACCTGCACAAATGAAGAAGATATTTCTAAATTGTATATAAATATATAATATATGCAAAGATAATTTCAGATTGCTACCTCATCTTTAAAAGTTAACAGTGAAAACTGTTAACTTTTAGAACAAATTATACATAGGAGTTTACCTTTTCAAAAAAAAAGATATGATTGATATGATTTTCTTGAGACAGAAAAGGCAGAAAACACAAGGATAAGACTGGTACATTTGATCACAATGAACGTGTGAAATTCTGTATGATAAAATATATCATATACAAAGTTAAAAGATATGCCATAGGGAGAATATATTTACATTCCACATAACCAACAAAGCATTGGGATTCAAAATAAATTAAGAATGCTCAGAATAAAAAAAAAACTCAAGCAAAGACTATGAACATAATAATAATGATTATCAATTCTTGATAAAGAATTAAAGTCAGATTAACTAAGATCATAATAACACTTGGAAAAGATTTGGGAAAGTAAGATTACTATACATAGCTGAATAGCAGTAATCTCAGCAGTATATTCCCTACAATTCAGCATTTTCACTTATAGGAATAATCCATAAAAAAGTCTAACATATATGTACCAGGAAACATGTAAAAGTTTTCATTGTGGACTGCTAGTAAGAAACTGTGAATAACCTTATCAACAGGGCAATGGCTAAATTAACTGGTTGATGGACATAATGGAATGACATACAGCATTTTAAGATAAAAATGTATTAGGCACACAAAAATCATGGATAAGTCACTGAAACAATATTGTATAAAAAAATCAAACTACAAATACAGTTTTTAAATGTAGTAAAAAGTCTGTAAGGATAGCATACACATCAATTCAATTCCAGAGAAAAGAGATGACTCGTTAGCAGAAAAGCAAATAGGAAAGAAAGGACTGAAAAGGTAATGGGGTCTGTGCTGTTCCCAGAACTTTTTATTTATCAAAGAGAGGGGTGGGGGGAACTAGAGATATATCTGAAGCAAGTGTGAAAAACATTAATACCTGTGAAATTTAAATTATGGATAAAAAAAACACTGTAATTTTATCTGTATTTTGCTAACAATATCAGTGTATTTATAACTTCAGAAAAAAATGTATGATATTCCAGTTACTAATCAATTTTGTTTCCTTAGCACAACTGCAAAAAGAACTAATAACTATTAAATCAATACCTTGAGTATAAATTATTATTACAGGCACCCCAAACTTATATATACAAGGCCCTGAACCAGTATTAAGTAAGGATACAAAATCTAAAAGAAACTGCCCTCAAAGATATTCCAATCTAGCAGTCACAAACTAACTTTGATTTGATACAAACTTTTCCATAAAGTTTGTACAGTTATCTGCATTTTAAAACAACACTAAAAAACTCATCAAAACTATGTTCTTCAAATTTGGAACTGTGATAAACATTAATTTGTGATTTAAAGATAATATCTGGAAAGAGTAATAAAATCTAGATATAATATTTTCTCATGATCTCACTGTCTTAAAACAGAAAGATAAAGCTTTCAGAACCAAATAGAAAACATGTATTTCAAAGTTATACAATCATGTATACATGATTCAATTTTGGAAAAAAATTTTAATAAATTATAACATACATCAAATACCCAAAGTAAATCAAAGGCTTCTTCCTCTCCTTTATTTTGCTGTTTCTCAATTTCCCCTGAGAGAAATAGGACTTATTTTTAAAGAAAAAAATGAGAACAGTAATTTTTTTGACAAATGTGTGTAATTAAAGTGATATTTGGACACTTGTAAGACTATTTAAAACCTGTTAAATGTTGTTTAAACTTTAAAAACTTTTTAAAACTAATTTCACTTATAATTACTTTTATGTATGTATAGTTTAAAATATATGTATCAACTTTTACTTGAACCTAACCAAATTTTGCTAACCAAAAAAATGGGTAGCTTCCATTCACAGAAAATTCATAAAATATCACTCTTCATTTTCTCTTTGCCTAAGAATAGAAACATTTTCTCCTTTTTGCTATCAACTATCACAATTCACTTGGTGAGATAAGGCCAATGTCTATTAGACTATCCTGCGAACTTTAATAACCATATTCTGCCACTTATTTAAAAATCACACATGAAATTCTGTGAGTGTACTATTAATAATCCAAAGCACCTTGTGACTACATGTACATTTTACAACACACTTCTAAAACATCAGCTTGTTAGAYATAACCAATGTACTGAGAAACTAAATTAACAGAAGCAGGAGAATCTTCTATTATCTTTATTTCAGTATGAATATATGAAAACATACAAAAAAGAAAATACATAATCTAAGTTCAAGGATAAACCAAGTCAAACATTTTAAAACCATGAAAACTGAGTACAAATATCAGGGTTTTTATTTTTACTTTCCTATGATAAAGATTCTGATATAATATCATCAACGTTAAAAATTGTAGCAATATAAAAACTTCCATTCACTTTTACACTTACTGCGTATTGTTTTCTACATGGTTGTTTAGGATTTAAACTAAAAAACAAAATGGATGTCAAGAGGGCTTCTGCATGTTCACTGAAAAATGAAACTTATAGATCTAGAAGGTGAATAATGTGTGTGAGTGTGTGCAGAGAAAGAAGGAAATAATGGACATTAACTATTAGAAAATATAACTAAAGCGTTGTATAAGGCTTGTTTATAAAAGAATGCTCTAAGAAAACTGGAAAATAAATCACTTTAAAACCTATAATGGCTTCTTGACTTAAAAAAAATAATAGTTTTTAATTACTTAAAATAAATTTAAGAATTTACCTGTGGTGTCCAGGAAATAGAAAATGGAACAGGAAAATCCACAAAACAATCTGGTGATTCTGCGGGATACTACGAAAAAGAATAAACTTTGGTCATTTCTGATTTTCTGTGACAATTTCACTCGAGGTATTTTGGAAAAAATTGAATAAACTAGGAAAAATATAACTGCAAATGCACTAAATATAAATATTTTTATTCTACTATTACAGTGATATGGAGAGTTCATTAACAGTCAACATATGTTCATGAGGTACAAAGTTTGGTGATTTAGTGTGCCACAACAGTCAATGTTAAGCAAAGAAAAATGAACTAAGTTAGTGTCAGGATAGCTGCTAATGTTATGATCTGAGAGTGAGTCACACTGAATCTCATTTTATCTTTAAAATACAGAATCAAAATAGTTGATATTTAATTCCTTCCAGTCTAAAATTTAAACTCAAATAGCTTCAGTAACATTTAAATAGTCAATGTGATAAAAGAACCAAGATATGCATAAGAATGACTACATAACTATCAATTTAAAAAAATGATTTTTCTGGGCTGGAGTTGTAGCTCAGTGATAGAGCAATTGCCTCACAAGTGTGAGGCACTAGGTTCGATCCCAGCACCACATAAAAACAAATAAAGGCACTGAGTCCATATACAACTAAAAGAAAATTTTTTTAAAAAAATGAATTTTCCATATGAAAACAAGTATTTTTAGCAAGTAGATAAAAATCAGGTTTCTAAGTTGACAAAGACAAAAGATATTTTTTCTTAAAATTAATTTTTTATTAGAAAATCAGAGGATTATAATAAAATTCTATTCTGAAATCTTCAAAGTCACATAATTAAAAGCACTCATTTCTTTCCATTAAAATACTAAATTTACTAAAAGAAAATTCGTTTTAGGGAAACTTTCATTTAACAAACTTAGTTAATTCAGACCTTTATGTTTTTCAGTATCTTATTATTCAGTATTTCACTGGAAAAGCCAAAGGGGATAAAAAAAATCATCACTATAATATTTAACAAACACCAGCACAAAGCAGATGCTTTCAAAAATTAACATTTTGATATAATGATCAGTTGGCTAAAAATAAACAGTATCTGCTGCGAATACCCTTGTAATCTCAGCAGAGGTTGAGACAGGAGATCTCAAGTTCAAAGTCAGCCACAACAACTTATGAAAGGACCTAGGAAACTCAGCAATACCCTGTCTCAAAATAAAAAATAAACAGGGATGGGGATGTGGCTCAATGGTTAAGCACCCCTTAACCTTAAGTAGTATACTATCTGGTTATATAAAACTAATAATACAGAGACACATAGAAAACCACATAAAAATATTACAGTGCTTAAATTCTGTAAAATGAAAAATGATCAGGCTGAGATAAGGAAGTCTATTTCAAACAATTCAAAATATCACAAGGTGATATTATTATATCAGAACACAATTGCTATAATCACTGGAAAAACAATGTGTTCACTACATTAAAAAGTCATGAATATCTCAAAGTAAATGCAGGTAGGGACCTCAGTTCTCTCTGGTTCCACCTTTATTAACTACCTAATATGACCTTGGAAGAGTTATTTAATTTCAATGACTGTTTCACAAGTAAAACTGATAAAACTCAACAGTATTACAAAATCTCATTTCCCTCTAAAATGTGATGATTCTTTTTTTAAAAATTATGCACACTTAAAATCTCCTTGGGTCAAAATAGAAAGTTTAGTTCACTTTCGGGTTGCTCCAATTCTTTCCCAGAGATGCTAATAATGAACAAGATCAACTCTCTAACATAAATAAATTGTCAATATACAATAAGAAGTTAATGAAATGTTTACTATATTCTAAGTAAATATATCAAGTAAAATATCTGTGGCCTTTGAAGTTATTGAGTACATACATTCATAGCTCATTATGCTAAAAGAGAATAAAATCCTACATTCAAGTGAGACTCAGTACAATAAATGGTACAAATGCACAGATATGGAAAAAGATCCACAAAGAGTTAAACAAAAAAGCAGGTTATAATAAATATTATCCCAAATATAATAATGACTATTGTGTCATCTGTGAAAGGATAACATCTTTCAAATATATTTTATATTATACTTATGCAAAGATAATAACATGTATATAATAAATCATACTAATCTATATGGGGGTGGCTTTAATACATATCTATTAAAGTTGAATACAGGTATATTTTATATGTTAATTGTATTCACAAATTAAGAGTGATTTTATTTACATAATAAACTTTACATAATTACATAAAACTCAAAAAGAGCAAATTTATGTGCATTTGGGGATTTATTATGAATTATTAAAATAGGAAATAACATCCTAGATATTCATTTTCAAAATAGTCTGAACTACAGTAGTACTAAGTACAGTGTAGTATATATAATGTCACAAATCAGCTTGTCCAAAATTAAGACAGTTTTTAAGAGWTAAGTTATATAGATATATATAAAACCACCAGAAACTGTCAAAACTTTCCATTTTACAAGTTTGAAAACAAATGCTCCATAACAATAAATTTTAATTAAAGAATTAGTATTTAATTATTTTTAAGTAAAAATATGGGAGAAAGAAGGGAGATATGAGAAAGTAAAAGAGGGGAGACATGATCAAAGCACACTATATGCATGTATGGAAATGTCACAGTAGAACCATTCATTTGTACAATTAATGTGTGTTAATTAAAAAAAGCTCTTCAAATCTCCCTTGAAGCAATCCAAATCAGTAATTACAAAAAATTATTCCACAATATTAAATACATATAATATGCACTTATAGTCATGATATTTTTTATAGACTCTGTAATATATTATTCTAAGAAAAATCTTAACCAAATCTGTTCTGTTCAGACCATCTAAAAAACAAGGCTACCCCCTGCAAGTGAAACCATACATATTGCAACAAAGACAAAATGCCCAGCTTCTGATACACATCTGTGATTTTTTCCCCCCAAGTAGTTCTGATCTTGGCAGAAGCTGAGAAAGCTCTAAGATACATTTTTTGTACAGAATAGATAATCCCATCCCATAATACAGGATGCACTATAAGTACTACATAAATATATCTAAAAACAAAAAAAATCCTTATTTTACACCTTTTTGATTTACATATTTATTTTTAAGACGAACTGTCTAGTTCAAATTAGTGTTCTTTGTGGGTTTTTGGAGATGAGCAGTGACTAAATCACAAGAGAATGTGTTCAAGAAAAAAATATATTTTAAATACATATTATACATCAAATCAAAAAAATAAAGGTTGTGTATTCAGAAAAATAATCCTGCTTTAAGGTTTGTTTTTTTAAAAAGTTTTTAAAAATTGATTTTAAAAATCTTAGTTTAAAACTTAGATTTTATGAAAACTTTGTCACGTATTCTGAACAAATAGTTTTAGCTATTCCTGTTTTTTAACTGTCAATCCCAGTTCCAAATAGTCCTCAAAAAACAGAAATTASCACATATAAAAGATAACTTTGGGGGCTGGGGTTGTGGCTCAGTGGTAGAGCACTGGCTTCGCATGTGTGAGGCACTGGGTTCGATCCTCAGCACTACATAAAATTAAAATGAAGGTATCGGGTCCAACTACAACTAAAAATTTTTAAAAATAAAATTAAAAAAGATAACTTCGGCCTCTATAATGCTCAACTAAACAGGCAAATAATGAATCTAACAAATCACCACAATATAAGATTGTCATCCTAACTTTTTTTAATAAACACTTTTTTCCCTAATATCTTCCTAGCTCAAAGTTTTCTCTTCTTTCTTGCTAGTAGAGCTTCATAACTATAAATGTTGCAAAACTAATCAAAACCACAACTAGAAATCATTTCACATCAACCAGGAAGRCTAAAATAAAAAGATATCCTTAACCAGTGTTAGTGAGGGCATGGAATAATTGGAGTCCCTGAATATGTCTGATGGAWCTGTAAACTGGTGCATCTATTATATGAAAGATTTTATAAGTCCTCCAAAATGTTAAAAAATAGTCATCATATGACCCAGCAATTTCACTCCTAAGTATATAACCAAGAGAAATGAAAAACYTGTGCATACACCAAAACCTGTGCACAAATGTTCACAGAAACACTCTTCATAATAACCAAAATATGGGAACAAATGTTGCAACAAAAGATGAATGGGGAAATGAAATGTGGTGTATCTATAAGGTGAATATTATTCGGCAACTAAAAAGGAATGAAGCACTGTTACATATATGAACCTTAAAGACATTACTCCAAGAAAAAGGAGTAAAAGACTGTATACACAATTCCATTTATATGAAATGTCTGGAATAAGCAAATAAATAGGACCAAAAAGTATATTAGTGGTGTCCAAGAGCTGGGGAAGGGTTAATGAGAGTCTGTTTATGAATGTGAAACTCTTTCCTGGAATGATGGATATGTTCTAAAATTAAGTAAGGAAAATTTTTTCACTGTTAATATACTAAAAACTTAAAACTAATAAAATGTACATTTGTTAAAAAGAAAAAAAATGTTGCAAACTGACACTGGAAAATATTTCCTGGAAAATGTTAAAAGAATCACCTAATATACCTTAAAAAGATATAAGAAAAAGCAGACAAAATGGACCATATAAGTGTTCTCAACATAGATTAATATTTTTATCACACAGAACCCCATTAATATGTACAATTAATACATTAATAAAAAGTAAATAAGGACAATCATAAAACCTTCAAAGCGTAAAAGGCAGTGTATATTTAAGGCATTACCTTCTTAGTAAGTATAAGAGTTTATAAAAATGAAGACAGGATATACTTAAAATCTTTAATTTTGGTCTTCATAGCAATAAGGGAACTTTTTATCAATGTACAAAATAAAAACAAAGTATTTTGCAGAAAATGACAGAACCCTTGCCACTAGCAGTATGTGATCTTTTAAAAGGATAAAGGCAGATCTTAAAGCATACGTTTAAAAACTTAAAAGGAAAAAAAATTATTTTTATTTTAATGAAAATAACTATCTAATTTCTTTTACAAATAAGGTTTCTATCCCACTAATTTTGTTTGACACTTATATGGGTCTCAAAATTATATCTAAGCATTCTGTGTGTGAGAGGAAGAGAGAATGAGTCATTTCTCAAACTGTCTGATGTAGCACCACTATAAGATATCAACTTTTCTGTGTCATCCAGTACAGCTTTATATATTAATTTTCTCTTGTGGAAAGCTTAAATGCCAGACACATTTTTTAAAAAGGACAAACACAATTGATCTTTTCATCACTACAATCTTCCAAAATAGAATTGATTGATGACTACTGGGAACAATAAAAAAAAGGTTGGATGTCCTGGTTTTCTTTAAATTCTAATGTTTTCCCAGTGATTACCAAGTAAATGATTAATATACTGATCTTGCTTATGCTACTTATTTCCTAAGATTCACAATCTAGGACTAAAAATAAAGACAAAAATGGAAAGATGTTTTGTGTCAATAAATTAGTGAATAGTTACAGATCACTAGCCTATAAGGACTCTACAAACGCATAACCTTTGAAAATTCTTAATATACAAATGCCAAAAAGCTTTGGCCAAAGGAAATAAACAAACAATAAGAAATATGTATATAGGTATGTCTGCATTGGGGGTTGGGACAAGTCAGTGACAAGAACTACAAAAGTAATTCATAAGAATTGAGAGCAAAAGGCATTTCCAGAACTTTACTAGAGAACATGWAAGAATCCAGTCTTTGTAGGATGCTACAAAAATAACACCACGGTACTTAGAGGCTACTGAATCTTATTTGTAATATTTCTGTATTATTAAGTCTATTATTTGATCAAATTTAAACTAAAATTTTGACATGAAATTATATCTAGGCTTTTGGAAACCTGGTGAATAAATTCTCTGATGCTTTCTCAAATCCACTTTTTAAAGCATTATTTATGTGCATTAAAAATATTCAGAGTCTATTTCTCAAAGTATTTCCTGACCACAGTAACAATTARACAAGGCACATACCTTTGCTTTCAACTTGACAGTGATTAGATGTTCTCTACCAGAAGCATCTTCTGCTTTTAACTTGATGGTACTGAAGCAACTATCCACAGATACTAGTCTGGTAAGGAGAAAAAAGTAAAAATAATCAGACTGGGGTAAGCTCTGGAGGGGGGTGGAGATTGTAAGACTGAAATGAAAATATTTGTTATGTTACTATTAATCAATTATAAAAATTAATCCGAGGAATTTCTGTATACCAACCCTTTCTGCTGCTATAGATTTACTGCCGTTAATAYACCAGCCTAGTGCTTAATGCAGTCATAGATCTCCAGATTATTTACAATGTGTGTCAAGGCTCATGCTGTGGTCAGTGAGCACTATGTTTCGGTTTTCCATCACTGGAACCTTTAGCACACACAGCATGTTTCTGTCAGCCTCTACTTATGTACACATTTAACTTCCTGTCAAACTCTTTGATCCATTTCTGTAGTTTCATACAGCATGAGACATTTATGCTTCTTTTATTTGTTTTTCTCCTCAATGAACCTCTCTTTTATTATCAATTATTTTACTGTACAAAAATCTGGCTGATATTAGTTCATATACTCAAATTGATCCTCTAAGGAAAATGCTATATAAGCACATATACAACCTGGTCTCCTAACAGTAAATTTTCTTCTTGTACGATATATAGCTTCTGACACTTAACCTAGGCATGTATTCAAGATGACTAATATTTTAAACATATTACACAATCACAATTGTTTTTGCTTTAAGTTGCTCTAAATGCATCAATTTTCCACAATGGAAACCAATATCTTTTGAAATATATCATTCTGTAAAAATATGGTCCCTTGAGTAGCATAAGCTACTGCCAAAATGGTTCAAATTTAGCAGTATATTTACTAGTGAACAGGGCATGTGGATATTTTTTGACATTTTTACAATACTATTCTCTTGTAGAGATAAAAAGTAGCCTAAGAATATTGAACAATGTATCACCCAGACTGCTGGTAAGACCTATTAGAGTTCAGAAGTAGCATTAGCCTCCCAACCTAGGCGACATTTTATGACATCACTATATGCCATTTAGTTACTGACCAAGTATAATTGTAAAATGGGTTAATTCCAATAAATGCTGGACAATAAAGATATAGAACACTATAACGAAAAAATAGATCTAGATCTGAAGAAGGTATATATATATATATATATATATATATATATATATATATATATGAATGAATGAATGATATAAAAAGTAAATCAAAAAAATCTACCAAGAAATAGAAGTTTCATCAAAATCTGTAAAAATAATTTAGGGTCTTAGAAAAAAAGGCAAATATTATTCTAGAAAAAAATGTATATTTATGTAATAATATCAGTGACTATATGGTTAATTTTTTCCAACTATATCTATAAATGCCTTCAACTGCCTACCTCCCAAAAATTTGAACATGAAAGCTTATCATGGTTTATCATGAATAAGGTTCAGATACATGAGCATCTGACTCTGAATGCCTCTACAAAACAGATTCAAGTTGAGAAGAGCACATGCATTATATTCTCCCTCTATTCACTAAAAAAAAAATAAAACATAAAGGAAATTTTTTAAAGTATGAAATTCCAGTTACAAAAAGAACAAGAAAGATCATTAATTAAAGCAAATTTTTAACAACTTTTATGAGAACGTATAGTTAGTTCTTAAAAGAACACTGGCTGACAAAACCGATTAGAAGAGAAAGAGGGCTCCAGGAGGGTGACAGCTGGCAAAAAGGCAAAATCTGTAGAACAGAGTATGATTGATACACACTGGCAGAGATTATGGGGATTTTTTTTAAATGAAAAAACCAAACAGAAAAGAGAAAATTTTACACTAAATTATAAACAATAAAGTCCTTTAAAAGACTTTTGAAAGACTATAAATATTCTATTATAAATTATTCAGTGAAAAATATTTATGTAATCATAAAAAATAAACTGCTTAATAATTATAAGCTTTAGATTCCAGCAAGACAAAATGCTAAAAGACTTCATTATAGTTATAGAAACTAATGTAAATATACTTAACCATAACCATTGCTTTTTTTTTTTTTTTTTTTGCCAATATTGTTCCCCAGTATCTTTCCTGAACATTACTATTTAAAGGAAAAGATTACAAAAAGTGGAACATAGAAAGGGGACCAATATTAGGAGGATGGATAATCACAAAATCTGTAATTCCTAACTTGAGAGTCAAAAGATAAATCCTTGGGTGCAAAGGAAAGAGAAAAATAAATAATGAAAGAAGAGAGAAAGTGGTATATGAGCTAAATCCTTTTTTATTATCACAATCAGTATACGATTCCTAAAACTAGCAAATCAAGTAATGTTTTGAACGACCAACAATTAAAAAAAAAGAAAGAAATAATACAGACATGTTATTTTGAAGGGTAGAAGTGTAAACATGATCAAAGTGTTTGTTTCAAAGAATAAGACTTGGAATCAGAAATGGATAGCAAAGACTGTTTGCATTTCAGTGTAAACCCTGAGAGAGCATGTGAGCGAGAAAGAGGGGTTTGGGTGAGACAAAAAAAGGACAACTAAACAACCAACAAGTGTTTTCTGTACTTCATGATGCTACTCATTAGCTGAATGTTCAAATCATTATTGAATATCTATGAAATCAGAAATAAGAGCTCTAGTCTTATATCTTATAATCACAGCAACATAAGATTATCATCATTCCACAATTTCAGAGGTAATATTTCAGAGAATAAAGTAACATGCTCAAAAAATATTTCAGTCCAAATGGCCATGAAGTTACTTTTGTTAAAACTTTTTAAGAAGTACTAGAATTCAAATAAAGCAGTAAGAAATGCTTATACTTTCATGTTAATCTCAGCACAAACAATTAAAATTAAGAAACATTCGTAATTACCCATATGAATTCCTGGCTACTTTGTTGGGGGGCGGGGGGAATCTTACTGCAATTATGAACATCTTCAGTACATATGACCTAGACTGCCAATTTTCCTCTGATGCTTATTCTCAACTTTTTCCCTTTGGCAATGGAATCCCTGGCTCCCACCCTAACCCCACCTAAACCTTGATTTACCAGGGTACAATCCACCTAGCTAATGACTTGCTAGCTGCCCTTCCACATGGACATATAACTAAACTTTGGCCACAAGGTTACAAGCAGAAATGATATGTACATCTTTTGGATCATTTATAACTAAAGTGCACCCTCCTCTCCCCCTTCATCTCATTCCCCTCCCATAGATTGAACTTGGACAGGCTAGTATGAAACAGCAAAGACCATGAAGACAGGAACAGTGCAAAACTGAACCCTCTGTGGTGTTCTGTTTGGACTGTCCAAAACAGTATCCATTAGTCACAAGTAACTAATGGAGGACTTAAAATACAGCTAGTACAGTGATTTTTTTACATTTAATTTTTTAAATTTTAAATTTAAATCTAAATGTCAATAGTCCTGTGTCTACAGGATACTGAACACCAATCACAATGGATAGTGAAGAAATCAGTTTAAAAATTCCTGCATTCTTCAATGACCTTCTGAAACAGAGCCACCAACCTATTTTTCCTACTTTTAACCATCTGCCTATATTTAATTTGTTAAATAAGAAACAAATAAAATTCCATTTTGTTTGAACTACTGAGAATCTGAGGTTTTCCTTGTCCTAGGAGATGAGCCTGTACCCTAACAAATAAAGCATAAAAAATTTATATCGATTCATGATAGGAAAAAGTATCCTGTGAAGGTAAAAAACAACCAACTGGGTGATAAGTTCTCGCAAACAATATCAAATCTGTATTTCAAAGAAACTCCACTTCAAATGTTCTGCCTTCCTCTTAAATTGGGTGTCTCAACTTAAACAATAGGGAATAATTTTTGTTCATTTAAATGAAATATAAGTAATTCATTTAAATGAATACATTTAGGGAAGTTTCATCAATGAAAAGCTTGAATTTTTTTAAAAGTTTATGTAAAATGCTAGAAAAATACCCACAAAAATCACGGTAAAAATTTATACTGAGAGGAGTTTAAGTATTATTTAGCTGGGCATATTGTAAAACTGACTAAGAAACTATAAATACAAAATGTAAGGAATAAAATATTTTATTTTTGGTCCTCCACTTTGTATTTATCATCTGCTACATTTCTTTATAAGTCTGTTTGCCATAAATAAAAGACAYTAAATTTGAATTAACTTTTTTAAAAAACATTTTCAAAGAATACTAATACTTAAGATTTCAGGGAGATTTTGCTATTCCTGAGGGTGGTGGCCCTGTGAATAGCTGAATATATCAGTACAGACAGAAGAAATGTATTCTCTTGAAATTTTGACCAACAGCTTAAGTTATGTAGTTTTTCTTTCCTTAATCACCAAGGTGCATTTAAGTAGTAATACCAACAAAAGGCAGATATCCTCAAACAGCAGCCATAATTTAATAAAATATCAAAGATTCCATTTTTACCACCACTCTCAATGTAAGCTGTAATTGCTTTATTCCTTGATTACTCAAAACAACCTCCCTAATGGGTATGTTCACTTTATTTCTACACAACAATTCGTCCTGCCTTCTGTGTCTAGATTTAGCCTTCTTATATACCTCTTAAGTCAATTCAACCCCTTGCTCAAAAGCACTCATGGAGTCCCTATCACTTGCTTAAACAGAAACATTAGTCTAGCAGTCAACATCCTCCAGTCTAGCCCTAATATATTAATCCCCTTATGTGAGCAACCCCTCCACTCAAAGTCCCAAAATGAACTGCACACTTTCTTCACTATAACCTTGCCTCCACCATTCCCTCCTTGGTAAAGCTCTTTCGAATCCTTTCAAGGTTACCCCAGTACTCATCTCCTCTAAGAACTTCTCACATTTTTTGTAGACCCAAAGCACTTGACCTTTCTCTAAACTCACATTGTTGTGTTTTTTTTTTTTTTTCATTTAAGTTTTAGGTTGCCAATCAAATAAGATTTTTGGTAAGGAATATGAAAGTTTTCTATTTATATGTATATGCAATGTGTACATGAACATGTGTACATGAACATGCAGAAGCTATTGTCAGACTGGTTCATTATTTACCAATTTATGTGAAAATTTTAAACA